TTTCCAGGGAAGAGTTCTCCCTTTCCTTCTTGTAGCGAATACCCAAATTATAGTGCAGCATATTTAGATAGGAAATCCTGAGAATGTAAGTCAAAGGAAAATGTACAGATTAATTATCAATGCAGAGCAAATGCTGTTTGTTTTAACATGTATTTTATTAATCTGAGAGTTTACCTAATTTTACCATGTTCAGCTAGAATGATTTTTTTTTATTTTTTTTTTTGGTGTTAAAAGTACTATCCTGGTATTTGTATAACAAATTAATTTGCCAGAAGAGAGATGAAAAACTGCTAATAGCAAAAAGGATTACTCTTTATAAATATTACTGTTTAAAAATGTCATTTAATTCAGTGCTTTAATAAATTATTTTAGAATGTATTTTATTATCATAATTTATTAAACAATAGGAGACATTTTGGCTGCGAATAGTGATAACACCTCTATAGAACTGTATTTGGATAGTCATTTTTCACGGTAGATAATTAGGAATTATAAATTATGCTTACACTCTTAAGCATGCTAGCTGGAGAGCATATGAGGCTGTATGTTGTTTTTGGTGCCAGTTCAGCTCCTGATTTTAAAAAATTTTGGCACAGAAATGCACGATGATTTTCAGTTTCTAGCGGTAAAGTGGAAGTGTGTTACTCACCTGAGAGATTTAGATGAAGACCTTGTCACCTGTTTACACTTTTGAGTGAAGTTTGCTTCATGCTTATTACTGAGGAAGTCATTATTACCGGCTTTTTTGCTGGCATCTTAGCCTTGTTCCTAGAGGTCAGATAATCCTCTTTCAAATGTTTCCTGCAAAAATAGTAATATTGATCTTTTTAGTGAAATCACTGGGTAGCTAAGGTAAATTTCTTCTGTTCATCAGATTTTATTCCTCTATAGTAAATCTCAAGGATGATGACAGGTAACACAGTAGCTTTCACAGCCATGGGTAAACCTGTGTGTGATAGTAGTAAAAGAGAGATGATAATGTAGAACTTGAGGAGAGTAGAACTACCAGGAGCTCTGGTAGTAAGCTAGGTGATACAGAATTAAATGCTACTTCAGTTGGTTTATATGCCCTGTCACAACCTGTGCCTCTATTTTGTACTCTGTATATTAATAATACAAACTGCTGCATCTCTGTCTTCCCTCCATATTGAAGAATTTAATTACTAAAGATTTAAGCAACTGACTGTAAAATATACAGTCAGTCCCACTCTTGTTAACCCGGATGCCTGGTTAAATGCCACTGGATTATATATTTGAGATTATTACTGTTAAAATTATCCATGATAATAGACACAGATAAAGTGCCAACGTGCTCCAGGAGTATGTCTGTGCAGACAGGTGCAAGTTTGCTTTGCCCACACTCTGAGCAGGCTGTATGTGAGCCAGTCCCAGTCTGGAAGCCATCAGCATGTTGCGTGGCATTATGCCCAAGTTAAATGCTTTGTCTCTTAAATAAATGAGGCTTTACAGCTTCTGAACTGAAGCTGACTCACATTTAGGAGGCTTCCAGTGTATGGGCAGTATGAGTTTGGATTCACCTGCCTGTCTGTGTACATGTATTCATCATTCCACATTACAGTGGAAGAACTTAAGTACAAATCCCCATCCTTGTGTTCTTGTGCAATCTTCTCCAAATGTTTGTGGTTTTATGGCCTCTGAGCTCCACATGCATAACAGATACCATAAAGATAAGAATTAAAATATAATGATAATAATACTACAAAGTTATGGAGGGCTTATTCAAATGTCTGTATGTGCTGGGGGTTGGGTTCAAATCTTAGACCACCTCAGTGGAGCATTTACAGAGTTATTTATTTATTTATCAGGGCAGCTACTTCACATGGTTATGAATCATTATTTCCTGCATTTGGTATGAACTGTTGTTTTGTAGACTTATGTGTTTGGTTACATAGAAGTAAACTGCAATATTTTGCAAAGGGAAAAGTAGTTGCATGCTCTTTGGGAATTATCCCATCAACCACAAGGCAATTGAGGAGAAAGATTTTGTTATGTTTCAAAAAAATACCGTCTTAGAAAAATATTGTTGTTACCTCTGCTTGGCTTTCATAACACCTCAATGCCATCGGTTGAGAAGGAGCACACCAGGGTCTCCAAAAGCTTATGTCTTTGGGAGCTGCAGAATCCAGAATGCAAATTTTTCAGAGTAGACTGTCTTACTCTTCTCTTCCATGGAAGGTTTTAACTCAACTGTTCCTTTAAAGCAGGGCTAGCGTTGACAGAAGAGTTGCATAGAGTTGCACACTTGCACTGTTTTGATTACAAGAACATATGGCTATTTTGGTCAGCGATACAAAAAAGATGGACCTGAGTGCATCACATTATCAGATATCGAAATGATATCGAATGCGTCAGTAGTTCTGACTCTTCTTTCTCACTAGTCAGGCTTTTGTTTTCAAAACCAGTTTTTGAAATACTCTAAACTTTGGAGAAGTAAAAATTCAGTACACCTTCATTTAGTTTTCAAGCTGACTTAGAAATTTTATTCTGTTTGTGACGTTTTACAGCAGGACTAAAACTGGTGTTACACAATTAAATAAATATCATTAGAAACCTAGTATTTACCAGGAAATTAGATGAGCAGGCATGCCTACATAATTTAGGATTGATCTGTGAATAACTTAAAAACCTTGGATTTTCCATGATGTAACTTTTCTTTTACTTACTTTCATCCTACGTGTGTTGGGTTTGTAATGGTTATATCAATATTTATCTTTAGATATAAAATAGGTATATCTTGAGACTGATAATTATGAAATAAACCAATTTATATTTTGCAGTTTACTTTATCAGAGGTACCTACTTTACAGCAATAATTACCAAGAATTAAAGATTAGGACTTAGTCCTGCTAGTGTCAATTGCAGACAGGACAAATCTTAGTTCTACACATCCAGAAAACCAGAAAAATGATGTAAAAAAATTTTTGACAAAAAAAAAAAAAGATGTTCCAAACAGCAATAAAATTGTTGTTTGATGCAAGATTAAAATACATAAATAAATAAACTGTTTGTTGATGCAACCTGTTAGAGCAATGTCAAAACATCTGAATGATCTTTATTTGTGATTTTAATATGTACTAAATATGTGCTATCTCTTTGGCTTTAAAGTCATAGAAAACCTATTGCCAACCCTCTTTTGTCAGAGAGCTTATGTTGTAACTACTACCACCACCACCACTTCCCCAAAAAAAGACATCGTCTGAGGCTGGGCACATTTCTAAAACAGAAAAGTATAGACATTTTTACATAAAATACTGCAGAGAAAAAAATTAATTTGTGTTACATTTTTCTTTCTGTTTGAGCCATATGCTAAGAAGAGGGCATTTTTAGATTTTATACATTACAAAAATTCTCTGATTCATGTAAGAGGAGAGGAATAGTTGAGAACAGTAGTGCATCAGCTTTCTTTTATTTCAGTGCATTAAAAAATCAAGATTTTAGTGAAAATATTATGGAATTGACATCTTACTTGAGCACAAAACATGAATAATATTACAGCATGGTACCAATAACCATGCAGCATGTTTTATTTGTTATTTTGAGGCTTTTAGGAAACAGTATGTTTCCTAAAATGTTTCAGTTCAGATTAGCATTATAGACTTATGACTCCATCTTTTTTTTTTTTCTTTAATACCTGTTAATTAGACTAATAAATAGGTATTATTTAAATCAGAACCGTTGGAGGCTCAAGGCATCCTCTTTTAAACATCGTTTAACTGTGATTAGAGTAAAGAAGACAGAATAATAATTGAGAGTATTTAAGTTTATGAATAAAATGCAACAGTTTATCTAAAACTGATCCATATCTCATAACTTGTTTTCCTTTGACTCCATCAGAAATATTGTCCTTTAAATATTTACATTAATACATTAGGAACTTTGATATAAAAGTGAAATAGCTTTCTTGACATTGTTGCTGGCAAGCAGAAGGACTGCAAGAATCCCAAAGTTTTAGCTCACCTTGGCTATATGAAGTTATGTATAATAAATGTATACATTTATTAGCAGTTGGAGTCTAAGGTTAATTTATGTCTCATTTATCCATGTTTATTTTTTAATGATTGATCTTATGTAGTTCTGGAAAAAGGCATAGGCCATAACATATTATGTAGTAAAACCTATTATGCTCTTCATCTTGTCTGATAAGTCATAGTCTGTCATTGAATACATTGCAGAAAGTGAGTATATTTCGTTTATTTGAGAAAATAAGGGACAGATCATGTCATTACCAACATGAGCATTTTAGAGTATAAGAAATAGTAAGATACTCCAGGATCTGTGCTTCCTAACAGCATGTTGTAAAAATTACTTCTGTCATGTGTCCTCACAAACTATTTACGATGTGACCCTGCTGGCTTCTATGTAATTCTATATGTTTCTGAGTGCTGCAAGTTTCTGTTTGCTCTATGGTGATTGAGGTCAAAATTCCAAAGGAAAAGATTCTTTGTGAACTGTTAGATCAAGGTACTGTTTTTCTAGATGTTATATTTACTTTGAGAATTATAGTTTCATGGTGACACAATGAATAACCATAAATTCATAGGAAAACGTTTACGTAAATGTGAGGAAGATATCCAGAGATTTCTGTACTGAGGCCTCTAGGGTAGTGAATATACAAGACAAAATAAAAATAAGCTTTATTTATATCACTTTCCTTTTTATGATTCAGTCTTTATGATTGGAATAATTCATAAGATTTATGTAAGATATTCTATAATTCAGGAACATAAATTTAAAAAAAAGAACAAGTTAATTCACGGAAGCATTATTAATTATCATGTTTTAGTAATGATAAACACTAAGATAAATGCTTTAAGAAATATTTGCTATTTAAAGAGTGTTCGAAATTACTTGATTGTTTTTCCATTAGTTAAAAGAAACGTCTCACTTAGTATTTTTGTTCTATTTTATTAAGAATATAAAAATAGCATATATTAATATTATATATGCTATATAATATTAAGAATATTTTATTTTATCAGACAGGAAGCCCTGCTTGCTGCAATTAGTGAAAAAGATGCAAATATTGCCTTGCTTGAACTGTCCGCTTCAAAGAAAAAGAAGACTCAAGAGGAAGTAATGGCTCTTAAAAGAGAGAAGGACAGATTAGTACATCAGTTAAAACAGCAGGTGGGTAGACATTTGCATGCTTTTATAGCAACTGAAAAGTGGCATTATTTTCATTTGTTCTATTCTATTCTATTTGTTCTATTCTATTTGTTCTATTCTATTTGTTCTATTTTCATATGTTCAAGATTATTCTAATCTTGTATCGAAAGTCTTCAAGCCAGGTCTGAAATGTGACAGCAGCTGTGAAAAGTAGGAGGTGTTCAATGTAAATGTTTCAGTATTGCTTCTCTTTGGTTGCTAAGTATTTAGCTGCATGTTTGGCTCATGTTATATGCACCTCAGTACACTTCCTGTTTTCCCTTCTCATATATAGCTTCCAACTGTCATCATTATGTGTGACAGAGGAGAGCAGATGCTCTTCACAGTAAAGCAAGATCTGTCCCGTGTTGACTTTTCCTAACCTTTTTTCTGCTGTTATTTGCTTATCTCTTGTAAAATAATTGTGTTTTCAGAAGGCTTCTGGCTTTCTGAGAGGTTATCTGGAAATCATGATTATCCTTAAAATAAATTCTAGAAGTAAAAATCCCCCTATCTTGAATGCTGTAAGTCATTTGAGGTTTTAATAAAAAATCGTGTAGTTACACACTAGACATGAGCAAATTTAATTTGTGTTCTGTTTTATTAATGAAGAAAATAACCGTACTAGGCACAGTACACATGTAAAACACAGGACATACATCTTTTATCTGTCTAATTAAGATGTTTAAAACTGCACCATGTGCAGTGGCTACTTACCCTGTTTTTTAAAAACTAATACTCATTGCAAGTAGAGGTACTGTAGGTAGAGTAGGACAAGCAACAGGACAAAGGATGTTCAGATGAGATGACCTAGTTATTAAAGACCAGTTTTGTGTGTTGTGAATGTTGTTAGATGCATTTTCTCTTTCAGAATATGTGAAAAGGGTGAGAAATATGTTTTAAGAACTTTTCTAAAGGTTTTGTATTGGTTGTTTTCCTTTGTGTGACATTAGAGAATGTATTGCTGGAGGAGGAGGAGAGAATACCATCAGCAAAATCATTGTTTTCCTTAGCCTCTCAAGTTAACCACACTGCTGTCAGGCAGCATGCCACTTCACAAATGAGCATGCCACATTAATGTATAGCCATAATAATGTATAGTTGACTGCATAGTCAATGTTATGATCCTTTCTGAATCATACATTACATCCTGCAGAACTTCATGGACTCAGTAACAGAAAGTCAGGGAAAACCTTTCCTGCTACGCTAACTTCCCAATGTCTCTGACATCATACCTATAATCATCGTAGTTTTTTCCCACAGGTCTATAAAAATAGGAAACAGCCCTTGAACATGAATTTATCATCCCCTTGTGATACTGACTTCATTACAGACATTTCAGCTAAGTACCTATGTTTCAGCCATGATGCACTTATGTCCCAGATCAGTCAGCTGTCCAGGAGATATTTCATCAGTTTAGCAGAAGATGTTAGATTCCAAATAACTTCATTACTGATGAGTAAGCAAATATTCCACTTTGCCATTTTCCATGATACCTGTCAGATATTTTTTTTAAATGTTCATGAGATGTGTGGGAAGACTGTGTGTTGCTATTTTACTTTTTTTAAAAATCCTTATGGTATTGCTGAGAAGTGTTCATAAAATTCATGACTTTCTTTGACCAAACTATAGGAATTGCAGAAGAGGTTTGCTAGAGAGGCATTGTGTTGGATAACTTCATTTCGAATTGTAACCAAATACTTCAAATACCTCCATTATTTATAATGATAAAGATCTTCAGTAAAGCTATTTAAGTAGATTAAATTGATGCCAAAATAATCTCTTTTATCTCAGACACCACACATTAAAAAAAAAAAAAAGAGAGAGAGAGAAGAGAGACATCGGGAATAGGAATGTGGTTTGTCTAGCTCACCACTTTATTACACTTACGAATTATCTGATAATAGAGGTTGTAGAGATCATTCATACTTCTTTAATCCCTTTGGGGAGAACCACTGTCAAGCCCCACAGATTTCACGTGTATTCAAGAACAAGTCTTTTTCCTTGCTATGACTGTGCTGTGGGGAAAAGAGGGTGGAAGCAGCATGAAATATGCCAATTTCTCAGTGAAAAGTTTCTTTGAGAGATGGCAATTCCTAGTCTATTTCTGATTCTCTTTTGTTGAAGAACTAGAACTCTAGTGAATGATCAACTGCCAGATTAAATTTTATTTTATTTTTTTATGGCCATATTTGTTCCCTCACCTATTTCCAAAGCTGTTGTACCACTGAAAGAAAAATAGAAAAAAAACACAGAAAACCCTACCTTTTTCCAGCCTGTTGTGGTCATGGGAGATATTTATAATTATTAGGAGATGCCTCACTCTACACCTGTTCTAAACTCTAGGGGGAACTTTTGCTTAGAGAGGCCAAGTAAAATGGTGGGTAGTGAAAAAAAAATCTATATTCCCTTTGTGTATGTCCATAATACCAAATGCATTTGTGATGAATCTACCTATCCAGTCAAGCAGGAATCTATCTATTCATACGTACAGGAGGCTGAGAACTTATCAAGGCAGCAGGGCAAAGGATAAGAAATGCAGACCTCAAAGAATCCAAGGAATTTCTCTTTAAGTTTCTCCTTTTCATGTTGCTCCTCACAGAAGTTCCCTGTCTTTCAATTAGTGAAGGTAAACCTAGGCTGCATATGAAGCATTGTGGCTAAAAAAGTCTTGTTAGCAAAGCTGCAGTAAGAGTAGGATTTTCCTCTTCCACAAGGCATCAGCTGATAAGAGTAGCAGACGGACTACTTCCTTCCTCCTTCAAATTTCTTTAGTATCTGCAATTCATATATTTATTCTGATATATACTACATAAAATCCTATTTTTGATTTGCACATCAAATTATGAATTTCCTGAACATAAAAAAAAATACTGATATATCTGTTACATGTTGCTCCAAAAGTTGCTCTTCCAGGTACGCCAATTTTAAGATACTTCATTAAATGTAAGAATATTTTCTACTGTGTTTCAGGAGAAAGATGTTTCTCTCTGTTTGCTTTGCTGTCTTAATTTTACAATCCTCTGCAACTACTTTCTAATGTTCTCAAAATTTTGCTGAGATGTGTTCTCTTCAGAACCAGACTTCCACTTCACTGCCGTATTAGAGTTAAAACAGAACAGCAATTGTTACAGTGGCAAGCAGTAGCTAATACAGATTGTCTTAAATCATGTAGACAAGCTATTGGGAAATCACTTTAAATTATTTTAGAGTGCTAATTTAAGTTACAAATTTGCTTGTAACATAATGTCACCCTGAGTGGAAATATACACACATAGTTGTGGATGTCAATAAATCTATTGAACAAATGTGCTAGAGTTTCTTTAGAAAACCTTGTAACATTTTCCTTTCTATACTACAAAATGAATTTGGTCATGCTGCATTTGACATTCTAATTGCATCTTCTGTCATCTTTATGTCCTGCATCTCTCCCAAGAATATCTTGTTTTTCAGGGAGTTGCAATTTTAGCAAAGAAGTGATAATTTGAAATTAAGTTTCAGTGAGGATCAGCTTTACCATTTGCAATAGAAAATATTATTTCAGTCAAGTTTTACTTCATGATCTTTATAGACTGGTGAATCACTTTGGCCTAAATAAGTGGAAACATCAACTCTCCTGCTGTATCATCATGTATCTGACAGTTTGGTTAATTTTATTATTTTCTTTGCAATTTGGGGAGTTTTCTTTTGTCTTAGAAACTCTTTTGAGTCTCCGTTTCTGCTGCTGTCTCTTTCAGGGGCATCACAGATTTTGTCACATACTTGATAAACTCCAAATCCTTAAGTCTAGACATTTCAAATGATGCTGTAGTATGAATCATCACAAGGGATAATATCTAGAAATGCTCCGAGTCTTAGGAGTTTGTTGTTGAAGGGATGACCTCAGTGTGTCTTTAGAAACTCTATGGTAGTATTACCGTAGCCTGGAAACTCCTCTGCTGTTGATATGCAGAAGTACAGAAGATCTTTTTCTGAAAGAGCTCCAAAGACTGTTTCATGAGAGAGGGAAGGAGAGGTGTGTTTGAGACTTTTATCAGAATCCAAGCTTTCTTATTGTGTACGTGAAGTGCCCAGGAATGCCCTCTTTGAGGAGTAAAAAGAGGACTATCTTCCATGGGAATATTATGTTGATGAAAATAAGTTTCCTGGAGTCAGATTTATTTTTTTTTTCAGACAAAAAATGTGAATAATTCTCAATACTTCTGTTTGCAGGAGAAAGCCAAGCACCGCTCTTTCACTTAACACTGATGAGGAAGTTGGAATTTTTATACTGTGTATCATTTATAGGTGCTCACCTAGAAGGAGCAAACATCAAAATGTTAGCAAATTTGTCTACTGCTACTCGGAAAGCTCTACAGGAGCTGTGGTGAATCCCACCACTTTAGGACATTGTAGGCATCACAACTTACATATTTAAAGAGGGCACAGTATGCAGTAGATGTCTTGGAGATTCAATTCTATTAAACACAGTGGAGTAACCCACTGTGTATTGAGGTTCCTCACAGAACTTTATCGTTATTGGATTAAAGCCAGAAAACCAGATTCTGTTGCTGCCCTGTAATACGTCACAGGCTTTCTCTGAGACTGAATTGCCTAAATGCAAATTTATTTGTATTTAACACAGCCTTGCACTGTGATAAACTTCTCTAGTCACTCTGCTGTATTAACATCACCCTCCTGGTGTATTTTTTGTTTCATCTGGAAGCTTCTTGTTTCTATAGGGTGGCTTCAGGAAAGTATTAAAATTATGCCACAGGCAATGCGTATGAAAACTTCTGTGTGAAATTATTTCCTGGGAGAAAAAAAAAAAGACAATATCTGACAAAATAGAATATCATTTCTAATTCTTTAATAGTTTGATTCTATAAATTTATTTTTCTGTGTTTAACATTATTTATTTATTTATTTTCCTTATTGATAAATGTACTGATTTTGATCACTTGACAGTGCCTGAAGACTGACAGTGAACATCCTACTATGAA